TCTTTCCAACTTTATACGGTCCGTGACTCGTCCGTTTATCTTGATTCTCGCGGTAGGCATTGAATATGTCTTAATACTGTTAATGGAGTTCTCAGCAAAACCAAACCTTTCTAGGACCAAGAACAAATACGTCCAGTTGACGCAATCAAAGGCCTTTTCGGCATCCAGACTAATTAGTACCGCTTTATGATTATTTTCTCTTACATTATCGATTATGTGGAGAGAGCGTCTTATGTTGTCTTGGGTTTGCCGGCCCCCAACAAATCCAGTTTGATCTTCATCAATCAAATCTGGGATGAACGAGTTTAGCCTATTAGATATAATTGAGGCATAAAGCTTATAATCTTGGTTTAGGACTGATATCGGCCTATATGAGCTGCACAGCATTTTGTTCTTACCGTCTTTAGGTATAATTGTTATGATTGCCTCAGACCATGATGGGGGGGTGGACATATTCTCTAATGTCCAGTTCAATGACCTTAGCAAAACTGGAAGCACCTCCACCTCAAATGCTTTATACCACTCAGCCGGCAGGCCGTCTGTACCTGGTGTTTTGTTATTTTTTAGTTTCTTTAAGGCCATTTCCAGTTCTTCTTTCTGAATCTGTTTGGTTAGGCATTCATTTTGACACTCGCCAATTGATGGCAAATCTAATGAATTAAGAAACATTTTTATATCTTCTGTATTGGCTTGTGCAGGTTGTGCGTATAAAATTTTGTAATAGGTTTGGAATGCCAAGTCAATTCCTTCCTCACTTTGTAATTTCCCGGTTTGGGGATCAAGGACTGAGCATATAGAATGCGTCATTTGCTTTTTACGAAGTTTTCTAGCAAGTAATTTTGTTGCCCTTGGCCCCGTTTCATAATATGATTGTCTCAAAAATTTGTATTTTTTTCTCTTCTTCTTCCTGATATATATCAAGAATTTGTTTTTTAATTTTCTGAATTTGTTTCAAGGTCTGGTCAGATTGAGTCTTTTTGTGTCTGTTTTCTAAATCTTTTAGTGTATTTTCAAGTCCATTTAGCTGATTCTCTTTAGCTTTCTTCAGAGCTGCACTTAGTGATATAAATTTGCCCCTAACAACTGCCTTTAAGGTGTCCCATAAAATGTTAGGATTTACCTGGCCATTATCATTTATTTCTAGAAAATGTTTTATTTCGGCTTTTATCTCTTTTATAATAGCCTTATTGTTAAGTAGACCTGTATTTTACGGTGGCCCCTAGAGACAAAGCACGTACAAACTCCAAAACACTTGCAAACTCCAAAACACATGCAAACTCCAAAACACTTGCAAACTAAAAAACACATGCAAACTCCAAAACACATGCAAACTCCAAAACACGTACAAACTCCAAAACACTTGCAAAATCCAAAACACTTGCAAACTCAAAAACACATGCAAATTCCAAAACACAACGGAAGTGCTCCAGGACGCTATATTGACATATTCCTAGTGCCTATGTCACAACTTTTTACCCTATGTCTATCATTTCTAAAGACAAAGAAAAGATCTATTCTTGAATATACGGCATGGGGGGGTGAAAAGTAAGTAAAATCTCTATGCTTTGGATGCATTTCTCACCAAATATCCAATAAGCCCAAGTCATCCAGGCCCTTTCTTAGCAATTTACTCTGTGAAGTCACTATCCTCTTATTATTAGAGGTATCATCCTTATGCATGATTGTATTAAAGTCCCCTGCGCATATTAACACACCCTGAGACTCCGAGGAGATCAATTCAAGGATTTTCTTAAGAAGTTTCAAATCATAATTTGGTGGTAGGTAGACTGAAAGAAGAGTTACCATTTTGCCCTCTATTTTACCTTGAATTAACACATATCTGCCTTCATTATCCTTTACTTGTCTGGTAAGTTCAAAATGTAGGGAGTTGTGTATCAATACTGCAACTCCTCTTTTGTTACCTGTTTTAAAAGAGCTGTAAAATGTATTTGTGAATCCAAACTTCTTTAACTTCTCATGCTCTGTTTGAGATAAATGAGTTTCTTGGAGAAACACAATCTGTATTTTTTCCCGCTTTATCTTAGACATGACTCTACTCCTCTTAACAGGGTTGTTAAGTCCATTTACATTCCATGAAGCTGCTCTAAAGTCACGGTTACTCATACCGGTATTTCCAACCACTTATGTCGACACTCTGAACATAGAACTATAAGAACAAAATAACCACAAAAACTGAACATATGTTACCTTGACTTCCACTCTTGGGGCTTTATAGTGCCCTGTCATTCTATAGTGTCCATTCTTACAATATTGGAGAAAAAATCCTACCATGTGTTAGTAGCTCCATCGCTGCATCCAGCAGCTTGCTCTTGTCTCTGCGCATTTTAAGTATCTCTCTCGGTCCTGATCAACATAGTCTGTTTTACACAACACAGGTCTAACGCAAAAAATGGTATAAAGTAAAAACGTTACGGGGGCAATACGTACAATGCCAGCATATGGTAGAGGTATTTCTTTACAAATCTTAAATAAGATGTAATAGAAAGGCTAAACACCTCTTCCTCTATTATAATAAACTGAGATTAGGAAACAGTACTTACAGAGCCAAAACAGGTATTTTAGCCGCTTAGTCCAGTGAGGCTTAACACAAGATAGTTTATACTTATTGTCTGAGAAATCCATGAAGCCTTCCGCGAACACGTTCGGAGTGTGAGCTATCCGTTTTCTCCCAGTGTGCGCTTCGGGTGAGAACCTGTTCCCAGTTGACGTCCCCGCAGCGTGGCATCTCCACAGCGTAACCCCGCTTCTTCATATCCTCTGCCGCTTCTGATGCACTCTTGTACAGGCGTGGTCCGCTCTCCCAATGAATTCTCATTTTAGCTGGGTATGGTGTCTGGAAACGAATTTTTTGTTCTTTGAGGATCTTCTTAATGTCCTTGTATTCTTTGAGCTTGTTGTTAATCTCAGTCGGTAAGTCGTGTGTAAAAGTGATAGTTTTGCCCTCATAAGAAATTTTCTTAGCCCAAGCTGCTCTCAGGACTTTGTCTTTTATGTCATACCTCTGGAAATTAACCACAATAGACCTTGCAATCGCTATGTCTTGCGGCTTTGGTCCCAGTGATCGGTGAGCACGCTGAATCTGCAACTCCTCATCTTCGGAAAGGGCAAGTTCTTTCTTTATGAAGTTGTTAATGAATGCCATCATATCATTCTCCTCAGCACCTTCCTTAATTCCATATATACGGAGGTTGTTGCGGCGCGATCTTCCTTCCAGGTCCGTGACTTTGGTCTGGAGAGTTTTCTGCTGGTCCAGACAGTGAATTAGCGCATCGATCAGGTCCACATTCACTGTCTCAAGTTCGTTCACACGTTGTTCTGCTTCAGTTAGCCTAGTGGCGTGATTACGAATATCCACGATGGCATCTTGTAGCTTCTGATTCATCTCAGCCTTTAGGTTATTCAGATCTTCTTTGATTTCTTTCCTCATCTCTCGGATGTTATCACTCAAATTTTGTATTGCTTTAGCCATTGTTAGCTCGTTTTCCTCACTTTGCTCCGTGCTCCTCTTCATGCTAGCTCCGTCGCCGTCGTCCTGTAAGGTGTCTTTTGCCTCTCTGTAACTTTTGGAGCCCCCCTGTGTCTTTTTACATCTGCCTCCACGCATTGTATATCATCATCAGTATGAATACGTTTATTGTATCGAGTTTGTGGAGTTTTCCTCACTTATGATCAGGAGCGGACAAAAAGTTAATCCGCCATCTTGGAGCGCTCACCGGAAGTCTCCTCTTCTTTTTCTTTTTCATTTCTGCAGCTCTGTCTGAATCTCCGTCAGAACTTCTACAGGATGATAGAGAACCAATGACATTGTTTAACAAAACCGAGATCAAGCTTTACGGCCAGCCTAAGACAGAAAAAGTGACCCATTATCAATAAAATGATGAAAATTCTTTCCGTTTTTAAGAAAATAATAATACTGATAGTGAGCTTTAACCCCATATTATTTTCAAAAAAAATCTAGCTTAAAACAAACAAACACATTTCCTTCTGTTTTCATTAAAGGATCGAGAAAAAGATGGCAGTACTCACCCACTCTCACGGTGTCTGTCTTTATCCTTTGATTTCTTCTTTTTCTTACTCTTTTTGTGTTTTTTAGTGTGGCGGGCCTCAGAGCTGTCGTCCCTGTCTTTGCTGAGAGTCCTCTTGCAATTTTGATCCTCTTTGTCTGGAGAGGAAAGGCAAGCCCGTGGCGGGGAGCCCTTGAACTTGTTTGTTTCTGGTGCTGTAGAAGGTGAGAAATTTCCTTCCTTTGAGGAGTAATTTTCTCTCTCTTTGCCATTACTCTTATCCTTCATTGCCCAGGAGTCTTTGCTATCCTGCAGCCACCTCCGACTGCCACGAGACTCCTCTCGGTGGGAGTAACCATATCCCCTTCGCTCATGGTCAATGTCCTCTCTTGACCGGTAGCGGTAGTAATGGTAATGGTTAGAGCACCTGTCACAATCACGCTCCCGAGGGTGCTGGAAGGTTCGCTCCCGGTGACGATCGGCCTCCCATTCCCTGTAGTAACGTCCAGAAAGGGGGAAACGATCCCTGTACTGGCGGTGGTGACCGTCTTTGTAGTCCCGTCTGTACCGGTGACGATCGTCGTCGCTTTCTCGTTCGTGACTCCTATCCCTGTAGTGTCTTTCTCTATCTCTTCCAGAGCTAGAGTACAGCCGTTCCCTGTCTCGGGAAGATCATTTTTCATTGCAACTAGAACTAGGCTTGGACTGATACTGCTCCTTAGTATCCTTACGTCCTTCAGTCCCTGTTGTTGCACATTTATCTTGTGGTAGATCCTTGGCTTCATCCTTGCTTACGCTAACTTTCTGTGGAGCTGCAGAAGCTCCACTGGTGCTTTGAGAGCAGCCCGGCTGAGGGGGTAAGGCTGCAGGGTTGCCATCTTGCCCAGAAGAAGAAAGAGCGGAAGCAGATTCTTTAGCTGCAACAGAAGGGGTAGTAGCAGTAGCTGAGGGTGAAGCGCTAACGGCGGAGGATTCTGTACAGTGAGGCAGGGGTTCAGATGGAGTTTTAGCCCTTGTGACAGGAGTGGAGAAATCCTGGCTTTCATTAGCAGCAGGATGAATGCTCTGAGAAGAACTAGCCTGGGATGAGGCATCTTTGCTGGAAAAATAAAATACAAAAGCAATATGAGCAATGCTTTGTCACACTGGCAGAGAGGAAAGTCAGCACAGTTTTAAGATCACTCCTCTAAACTTAAAAATTTAAATGCATAAAATGGACAGCAGAGCAATAAGTTTTTTTTAGTTCAGTGTTAGGCTTACTTTGGTTGGCTATGGTCACTGCCTATTCCATTAGCAACAGGAGCCGTAGACGTCAAACTGCCATGATTACTGCCAGAGATCTGATGTGCCCAAAATAAATAAAAGAAATATTAATAATATGCCCCTTTAAAAAAACAAAACAAAAACCCAAACAGACAAGCATTATAAAAGTAAAGACAAGATTTACCTTGTCAGGGCCGCTGTGTCCATTCACTTTGTGATGACCATTGTGGTGCCCATTTTGGCTGGATTTGAAGTCTCCATACGCTTGTCCATTTAATCCATTGCCGTGATGGTGCACTCCTGACTCCCCATTGGCGGTTTTGGGAGAATTATCAAAGACATTTCCTGTGTCTTTATTTTCATTAGGATGAGACTTGGATGAACTGCCGTTATCCAGAGTGCCACAGTTCTCTTGGTCTGATTCCCCGTTTCCTACAGGGTTCTGATCCCCATTACAGAAAGGCATGCCGCTGACTTGGTTTAGTGCACGCGGAATAAAACAAACGTCTGGTTGGACGTCTGAGGTAGACTGTGAGGAGGACAAAGAGCTGGAGGAGGAGGAGGAGCTGCTGGCGGAGGACGGCTGGCAGTAAGAGGAGGAAGAAGCAGATGGGTTCGGTTTGCTTAGCCCAATTGAAAATGAAAGCTTCTGTTGTTTGTCGCTGTCTGGAATCATTGTGGGCCGGCTTACTGAGTGGGAGATGGAAGCAGAGGAAGCAGAAGAAGCTAGTCCATGGTTTGGTTTCCCCACCACACTGCCGCTGGTGCTGGGCTTGGAGCTTGTGGGATAGTCCCTCAGAGATCCATTCCCATTAACATGAAGAGAACTCTGAAGGAACAAGAAGTCACAACAACAGGTTTTTAGAAGAGAAACACTGGGTTTAACAAAAACAACAACATTATCAGTACCCTCAGGTGAGGAAGTACCTTGTTCATGTGTGGTGGCAGCTGGGGACCTATGAAGCCAACACTGTTGTGATGCATGGTGGCGATGGTGCGTGGGATCACCACCGGCTGGGGAGATGACTGACCAGATATGCCAGCGTTATGGTTCAAGTGGCTGTAGTCCCCAGTTTTTTTCACATCTGTGCACCTGATGACATGGAAAAAAGAATATTAACCATGACAAAGCATCAACATTATAACATTAGGTTATAATAATAGATTTTCTACAAGAAAAGTGGGAATAAACATGTCTACATTATTAAATCATGATGGGAAAAGTTCTACTGAAGGAATAAGCCTAGAATGTTTAAAAATACCGATGTTTACTCACTTGATGTAGAAGAGGACATATGCCTGCTGGTTGAGAACGGTCCTAATGTCACTGACTGACACGGACGAGTCATTCATCTGAAACCAGTGCCCATTGCTGGCCTGTGAGACAGAATGAGAGAGATGTGACACAGCAGATTCAGTTTCTGAATTGAATTTGAGCTAAAAAGAAGAATCTTATGGCTATATAGGGGTCTTTTTTTTCTTTCTTTCAATGCATACAAAGTATTTTTCTCTGTTTGCATTCAGTTTTCTGCTGAAATGTGTTGTTTATGGTGTGTGTTTGTTTGTACTACGCAACAGCAGCATTCAAACAGATTCGGGCACAGCCAGTACCTTAATATAGCAGAAATAGTGTCCAGCATGACAACTCAATTCAGAGTGAACCAGCACAGCATACAGCCTGTAGAGCTGGGGCTCCCCGTGGGACTGAGACACTGTTACTATTTCTACCATTTCTTCTTGGAGCAACCTTCACAGACACGTCTTTTCCTGTCGTTGTCCCGATGTCCAATATTTCCTCTGTAACGTGCAAATTGGAGTCCACACCACAGATGAAAATGGCCAGCTGTGCAATGTCCATCATGTCTGTACTTTCATCCACAGCAAAAGAGTATGCAATAAAGTCTTTGCTTCTTTCACACAACCGTGTTCTTAAATCAGTGGTCATCTCACAAACTTGATCAACAATCGTATTTCTGCTCAGGCTCACATTTGCCAAAATGTTTTGTCTGGACACAAGAAGTCGTACACCTAATATCAATAAAAAAGGATGATTTAGCACTAGCTGCAGCTCACAGTCTACAACTTCTCTGGTCAAATTAGCTCGAGGATGCATTTCCAAAAAATGCTCCCATGACATAACTTTTGAGTCATTCACAGGCCTATATACACACTGTACAGCTTCATGATAAAACTTTTTTTAAATATAATGAATGTGGGAAAAGCCGGTGCCCTCTGTCACACCCAATTTGGGATTAATCAGTGATGTACCATTTCAAATTCAGCTTCGCATCATTTTGCTTTTTTTTTTTGTTTGTTTGAATTATTTCGTTGTTTTTACTCTTGCTTAAATAAAAACATTTCATATATAAATCTGATGCAGAAAAGACAACATCACCTGCATCCAGGAAATGACAGAGTGCTTTGAAACACTGGATTTTCCCAGAAAACAGAAAGTCATTTCATGCCGGTGGTGTCAAATTTAATGAAGTTGGGTTTTTCTTCCCCAGTTCTATTTCATCGAACTGCAAACAGGCCAGAAATTCCCGTTCAGTTTCTCAGATATGAGGATTTGAACGCGTTGTATTGGGCCTCCTAACCACATGAAGGCGCTGTTTGTTTCAGTAATACTGAAAAATCCTGAAATCTGCTGGTCCCTTTAACGCAACTCACATGGAACTCCTGGCCGGTTCTGCCTCGCGTGCTGGCAGTTGCAGCGTTCGTGGACCGGACCGAGCTTAGATATTGTCACCTATCAGTCTTCCTTTTTCGTTTCGCACTTTAAAATCGAATTTTCCCAAAAGGAAAATCTGTAGCTAACTTTTAGAACAACCAAGTGACATATTTGACAGGTGTCGCATTGGGAAGAAGGCACACAACTCGTTTTATGTACGAGTCTGTCAACGTCAACGTCAACTAACAGTACCGCTCACAAAACGGTTATCTGAGGGGTGACAGAGATGACAGAAGAGCTCGAGCAGATTCTTTCGCAGCTCACACAGCCTGATAATGCAATTATTCAGCAGGTAACGTCACAAATAATTTTATTAAAGTTAACGTTAGCCTTACTTTGCCCGGCTATAAGTGAACTTTTTGAAATGGCTGCTGGAGATAAGCTAGCTGATGTTTGTTAAGGTTTGGTTAGCTAACTGTTAAACCACTGGTACTGATATTTAGGACCACTGGGTTGTTATATTAGCAGTTTACTGCCTGAATAGTTGGTACCTTAATTAAAAACCAGGCTTAGGTTGTGAGTCAGTTGGTGAGCTGTTATTTCTTTGTGGCACCCACCACAGACAATCTCTTTTGTCCTCTTTTAGGCCACAGCCCAGCTGAAACAGGCGTTCAAAGACCCAGCTATTATTCCAGGCTTGTGTGCGGTCATGAGTGGCTCCCAAAACCCTCAGGTACTATATACCTTTTATTATTTTATCCTCTAGTGTGTGTGTGAAAAGAATGCCCATCTTTGTAAACATTTGGCATCCAACATGCAGATCCGTCAGTCAGCTGCAGTGATGCTGAGGCTGAGGGTGAAGAAACACTGGAAGAAGATCAGCCCTAATGACAGAGAGAGGTTTGAGTTTTACTTTTCTTTCACACTACCAGCTTTCATAGTTTAAACTCTGCTGTGATGTTTGCGTTTTATTCACACAGTCTGAAGGCAGTGGTGCTGCAGGCTTTCATGCAGGAAACAGAGTAAGAAAATGCTGCACTTACTGTTTTGCATTCTGTAGATATAGACCTACACATTTGAGCTGTCATGAGCCGTTGTTTCTCTGTTTATTTTCTTTGCAGGCACACGGTGCAGCATTCACTCTCCCAGCTGTGCGCTGTAATGGTTAAACATGAGACACCAGACCGTTGGCCTGCCCTGCTCCAGCTTCTCAATCAGTCCACCAAGAGCAGCAACCCTCATGACAGACAGGTAGCCTGATCAAGCACCAGATAGGAGTTCAGATTAGTTTAATGTATTTACAAGTGTAGATGATGATAGATGCACATGTCTGGACTAGTTCATAACCTGTGTTAGCTATAGCTTAAAGCAAGGATGTCACACACATTTTGCATTGTGGGCCACATAAAGCTGACTTTGATTTTAAGTGATACACACCAGTGAAAGTTTAACTACACATTTAATCTGTAATATAGCTTAACATAAGAAAAAGAAGTGCAGTTTTAACTGTATGTCTCAGGTTTTCTACATGATAATAACAAATTATGCTTTAGTTAATGAAAGACAATTGCCAGTATAGCTCATTGGGCTTAATTTGTAAGAAGTAAATGTGTAAAAAATGGTAGCTCATTGCCCAGACTGTTCAGTAAGTTTTTGTTAATTCACAGAAAATATACTGTTTGTTCTATGTTTTCCCTGCTTGTTACCTTGTGTCTAAACAAACAAAAAACAGATTTCCAAACAGGTCAATTTCTGTCTTTTTTTTCCCTCTGGTTTAGTATAAATGGGTGAAGTCTGTAAAGGTTAGAAAACATACAGTTAAAAGTGCAAAGTTTATATCCCCCTTTACATTTTTTTCAGCTGTATTAGGCTGGCCAATTCTGGTTCTCAGGCCTTATGTTTGAAACATTTGGGTTAAAGTCTCATATTTTATTACAATTTGTGCATAGTTTAATCACTAGAAATATCGTAATTTTTTTGCCAGGTTGGACTCCTGCTGCTGAACAAGGTGATCGAATCCAACCCTGAGCCTTTCAAGCCCCACTACTGCCAGCTCCTGCAGCTGCTTCGTAGTGTGCTGGAAGACCACAACAACCCTACAGCTCTGTACTATTGCATCCTCACCCTCACAGCCATAACAGAATTCATTGGCACAGAAGAGATGGTGAGGCAAAACAACATTTCAGGCAATGTGCAGACATTGAAACTATTCCACAAGAGATTTGTTTATAATTGCACTGCATGTGATCCGTTACAACTTAAGTTGAAATAATTTTCAAAAATCTAGAAGTATTTTGTCACAACTCAATAACATCTTGCTCTCTTATAGCACCTGATGCGTTCCATCCTCCCAAATCTGATTGTTGCCCTGAAATGTCTCATCAAGGCTGATCAGGTAAATTCTAGCAAATGCTTTTGTACCTAATGTGTTGATAAATACCTACTAAATTATTACTTCTGTCTCTCCCTTCACAGAACCAAGCCAGTGAGGCCATGGAGGTGTTTAATGAGCTCATGGAGAGTGAGGTGTCCGTTATCGTCCCACATGTTGCTGACGTTGTCCGCTTCTTCTTGGAGGTACGACCTAATTGTGTGAATTCTGTTTGATATTCTAAATTTTATTCATTTTTTTAAGCTGACAAGTGATGTTTGGTACCTGAATGCTCAGAGGGTTTTACATGTGCTTTCTGCTTGTGTTAGGTCGGCAGTGACACCAATCTGAGTGACTCTCTGCGAGTGAAAGCGCT